CCACTCATGCTTTTATAGACCTCTATCCTATCCCCCCTCCGTCTCCTCTTTTCTAAACTGAAAAGTCCCAGTCTCTTTAGCCTCTCTTCATATGGGACCTGTTCCAAACCTCTGATCATTTTAGTTGCCCTCCCCTCTCCAACCTCCTTTTCCAAGTCTCCCCGAGTTTTGTTCAGTAAAGAGAGATTCTATTTTTGACCACACGTTTTCTTTATTTTGTACATCAGGAAGGGGGGCTAGGGAGGGGTAAGTGGAAGGAGGTGAGGGAGGAATGGGGTACGAGCCCCCGATGGGGAGGACTGGGCTGGCTCTGCGGCCTTCTGGGGGTGGAAGCTCTCCTGAAGCCCCCCAATTTCCCCCTCTCCCCAGATGGCAGCCTGCGGCAAGTGCAGCCGGTCTGATGGCCGAGTGCTGTGATGTGCCCAGTGTGGGCACTCAGGGCACTCCAAGCCAGGACTGCTTTGCAAGTGGGGCACCCCTGAGAACTATCTGTCCAGGGTGGGGGTCGGGTCCCTTTAAGCACAGCCCTCGGCTAGCCTGAGGCAGCAGCTCCACGCTCTAAGTCCTCATCTGATGCCCTGCCAGCACTGCTTCCGGCCATCCTTAACCCCGGTTCAGGGTCCACTTAATGTGGACATGCTAGTTCGAATGAGCAAAATGCTAATTCGAACTAGTTTTTTAGTCTGGATGCGTTAGTTTGAATTAGCGCTGTAGTGTAGACATACCCTAAGATAGATAGATAGATAGGTAGATATGGATTTCTAGTTAGTGGTGTTCAAAATGTTTTATTAATCCATTGCAAGACAGATGGCTAATGATTCTATCTAAGCTTCCTGGTAAGCTCAGATCTCTTTTGAAGCTAGCATCTGGGTGAAAGCCACACTGAAAAATAGTTTTATTTTATTACAAGAAAGCAATTATCTGTCTGAGGAAAAATCAAGTTTGAGATGACTTTGATTATAAATGGCCAGTCCAATGAAAAAGAAAATAAAAATAAAAATGTTCACATACATTTTTTAAAGATTCGTAAATGTACTTACTTATTGTCTATCTTACAGGGAGCAGATAGATTCACAAAAAATGAGTTGTTCAATTTACTCCATAAGTAAATTCAGTCATTACAATATTTTGGTTTTAGAACAACACCATCAGGGTTGCCTCATTAAATCCATGATCATATATTCATATGGCAGATGATTTAAACACAATAAGGTAAATGTTGTGATTGTACAAGCAAATAGAGATAATCGTAAACTCCCATCCCATATGACATTAGTGACAAAATGACAGCATTATTCCATTTCATGAGACCACCTCATTTTTTTCATTAAACAAAGAGACCTAGTCCTTTTTCTGATGTAAATAGCATTAAATGATCTTTCACAATCTGAGGTAGGGGGAACTCTTTGTAAGCATTCAGGCTACAGCTACACTATGAGGTTTTTTGCAAGAGGCAATGTAAATGAAGCATGGATTAGCATCTTCTCACACTTCATTTCATATTCTCTTTCATTCCATTCTTGCGCTAGGGTTTTTTGTGCAAAACCAGGCAGTAGCTGTGGCCGTTTTGCGCAAAAACCCCTTTTTCCACAAGATCCTTATGCCTCTCCGGAACAGGCATAAGGATCTTGCAGAAAAAGGAGTTTTTGCGCAAAACGGCCACGGTCACTGCCTGTTTTTGTGCAAATAAACCCTGGTGCAAAAATGGAATGAAAGAGAATATGAAATGAAGCACGAGAAAATGCTAATCCACACTTTATTTGTATTGCCTCTTGCAAAAAAAAACCTCACAGTGTAGCCGTAGCCTCAGATTCTGCATTGCTTTCTCTCCCTCACACAAAGAAACCACCTTGTGTTTTTCCTAGAAAATTTAACCAAATAATTTACATTAAAAGTATATTGCTGAATTAACTAGATTCTTGGTTTGTTTATTTGTAGAAAAGCTGCTGTGTGGTTACTGCTGGTATGAGATTTGGAGATATCAGCAGTTCTGGTGCTTTGACCTTGTGATGACTTGAGGCTTTTTACTAAGTGGACCAACACCACTTCAGCTGCAGGAAAAGTCCCAGCATTACTGACCTACTTGATTCAGCTTTCAAAAGAGGAAAACAACTGCTGTAGTTCACAGGAAGGTGTCTGTCTGCCAGAACACCATGTAACTTGTGTCTGTAATTGCTATGCTAGTTTGAGATCAGGCTATCATCTGTCTTGTCTTTGCTTTTTTGATTTCACTATTGAGGGAGGGATCTTTGGGGTTTAAATAACATTTGTTCTTTCTCATCTCAGCCCAGCAAGCAGAAGATCACAGCATTACAAGGATAGTTGGGGCTGATTTGAGATGAAATCCTGAAGTGGCTTTTGAAAAACAGCTGGCTGCCAATTCTAAACTACCCTATTAACATTAAAGAAACTACACCAGTGTATGAATAGTCTCACAGACAAGCTCTCAGTGTACGTAGGATCCCTTTCCACTACAGTATGCTGCCCACAGAATTGCCTTTGGTGTGTCTTAGTATAAATCCAAAGTGCCGTTATTTATTATAAAGACATACAGTTGTGGCTTTGAATTTTTTCATTAAGGAACATAACAGTCCAGTATATTTTCCTTGAAATAATGGCATGTCTTGTTACAAGGCAGAAAGGTAAAGGCCAACTCAATTTGACATTAGAATGACAATAATCCCCACAAAATGTCTGACGTATCTTTGCCCTCATGAAGTGATGCTTGTATATAAAATTTCAAGGAAAGAGTCAGATGCATACATTTATTGGACAGCGTGAATGTGACATCTGTGACAGCCAAATTACAGAAATCCAGTTTTGTCTAGAGTTCAAAAGGTGCGAGGTGGATATGTCTGTGCACGTGCGCACTCCTCCCAGTCAATAGGACTAATATTTAGGCCCTTGAAAAGGATTAGAAACTTTACCTTATAGTAGTAGTGGCAAAGAGCTCAATCTGTTTAGCCTAAAGAGAAAGGTCACTTGGTTACAGTCTGTAAGTATCTATTTGGAGAACAAATGTTTAATAGTGAGCTCTTAGAAAAACAGAAAAAGGTATAAGGCAGGCCAGTGCCTGGAAGTTGAAACTAGATAAATTCAGATGGGAAGTGAGGCATCATTTTAACAGTGGGGCTAACAGCCTTGCTGGGCCCTTAGGCACAGTGGAGGGCTGGCTCTGCACTTCCAGAGGGCCAGGGCTTTAGGAAGAAGGGACAGGGCTGAGGGCACTCCAGCAGCAATTTAAAGGGGCTGGAGCTCCAGCTGCCGCTGCAGTAGCAGCAGCCAGGAGCCCCAGGCACTTCTGAATGACTGGGCCCTGGAGCAACTGCCCTTTTGTCCCCTGACTGAGGGTAATTAACCATTAGAACAATTTACCGGGGATCATACTGGATTCTTCATCACTTTGACCATTTTAAAATCATGATTGGATGTTTTTCTAAACATCTGCTCTAGGAATTGTTCTGGGGATATTCTCTGTCCTGCACTATCTAGGAAGCCAGACTAGATGATCAGAACGTCTCCTTCCAGATAGATCTGAATCTGTCTTCATACCTAGTCCTAACTCAAATCAGTTCCCACTGTGTGGTATCAATTGGAGTTTGTCTTTAAAAGTTCTGAATAAAAGGGAAAGCAGGATTTGGCCTGCCAGCTGTTTATTGTCTGTTACCTTTCTCCTTTTTGTCTATGCTAAATAAGAGTGATAGCTACTCGAATGCCTTCCTGCAAAGCTAGAATTTATGTGATGTGGTGCTGTTCTGAGTAATGCAAGATCCTTGATACTGTTCACAGTTTGTATGAGAACTCTGTGATCAGACTAAAAGCAGCAGACTTACATTGGAATGATGAAATTTTACTTACACCGTTCTGAGTTCAGAGCCAGTATTTTGTTGTTTTTTCTTTAACGGTCTTTATGAAAATTGCATGTAATTTTATATCATGATAATTATACTAAAATAACCATGTGATTAGAGTCTTTATAACCAGTACCTGCTTTAATACTAAATTCATCTGGTGGCATTTGGTGTTTTGGGGGAATAAAGAAGATACATATTGCTCACAAAAGCTCATGATTATATATATTTTAGCCCCTAAGGTGCCACAGGACTACTCATTTTATTAAGAGCTAGAGAAGGCCTTAAAGAAACAGACCCATTTTAGCAGGGTGTAGACTAGGGATTGCACTGTTCTTCTTGTAATGATAGGGTACTGTGGTCTCTGCTATGCTCTTTTACAGGGAACAGAGTTCACTACCATTATCACCACCATCTCATGTGGACATGCGCGTGCACACGCACATATACACACACACGCGCGACAGCTTTTGGGACCTCAATATTTCCCACCCTCTTTAGGGAGGCTGGTAGCATTGTCAACATCTGTCTAAAACATTTTTGGAGCTTCATAAGCCCAAGATTTGGACTGGTTCTAGACTGCTTAAGGGTGCAATGTTCTCTTCCTCATTTGCTCATGTGTGCAGGGCCAGATCCAGTCCCTGATATTGGGACTTGACCTTCACTCAGATGCTAAAATACAAGGTAAAGGCCATATTCTAAGTCTTATCTATGCTAGTGTTTCTTTTAAAATGTTCTATTATATTGTCAATCATGCACTTTCATTTGTTATAGCAATGGTGCAAGCTATGATGTAAACAGGATGTTAACATCTGATGGAATTTTAACCAAGGGTCATCTGAATCGGCTATCAGGGGAGTTAGATTAAATGTATTTTATCTCACCTGCTGTTAGTTTCATTAGTGCTCCTACTGCTGATAAAGCTACATCAGCAACAGAGAACATACATGAAATATAAAGGGAAATGAAGGGAACATACATGAAGGGAAATGATGCTGTAGCACGAATCAATGATTTAAGTCATGCAACTCAGAAAACCTGCTATAATATTCATGTGTACAAATGGAGCAATGGACTTATTTATATTTTATGTATCTGCAGCGAGCAATGTTGAATATTGCAGGTTAGATGCTAGTCCAAAGCATGGTTGCAGATTCACATTCAAAGACCATAACTTCTACTGTCATGAATTCAACAAGAAGTTCAAGAGATCAAATTATTCTTCATTCATAGAACTCTTAGGGACACTGTTCTGACAAATTAGGACACATTTTCTCTGTCCCAAGTTATTTATAGTCTCATTTGCATATGCCAGTTTGAATATCAATTGTATGGACTTAATTATCCCACAGTTATTGAACAAAAATTTATTTTGTAATGGCTGGTTTTTTTTTTCAGTCTGTTAATTGATATCAATTGATAGTACAGCTATTGAAGGGTGGGTTGGGGGAAATCAATCAATAATATTTTTAAAAGCCCTACTCTCAGATTTGCATATTCTTCTTTTATTAATGTCAATAAGAGTTGTCAATATTTGCAGCTAAAGGTACAATTTGGTCCTCAGCATATATAGCATTGGGAAAATAATAGTACTGTTGTAGTGGTTTCACTTTGATAAAATAGATTTTATTTCTGCAGTTGAATATGAGATGACGGAAAATGTCATCTGTACATAATTTTCACTATGATTAATGACATGGCTTAAATAGCTACTAGTAATCATTAGCGATTTAAAAAAAGGCGTGTCAAAAATGTGGTTACAAATATTCATTTGTTTTCTGGCTGATTAAATTTTTTAAAATATTGACACAATTTCTTTAGTTGAGTTTTTGAAGGGACAGTTTTATTCTTTTCATTGCACTTTTAATAGCATGCTGTCTTCTTTTGTTTTTCTTTCTGGTTTGTTGGTTTCTTTATTACATAGTAAGTAACAACTGTATATGGCTATATTAAATTATTCTTTTGTTTTAATATGTGATTTTTTAAAAATTTTATACTAGATTAAGAAAATGGATTTAAAAATCTAGCTGAGTGAGCAAGTGTCTGTTTCCTTATTGATGTTTTTATTGTGTATTGCTTTTAGAGGTTTCATTTGGAAACTGTGAATTCCTGTTGTTAATAACAAGTTTGAGTGCAAAGGACATTTTACTAGCTGTAGTTATTACATTCAGCTATATATTCACAGAAGGGCAGAAATGGCTGCAGCTACTGCAGTTGTAACCAGGGAACAGAAGCATCAGTAATAATCTTAAGGAAAAAGATGTCAAGATGCAGCATCCTGTTATGTGAGCTCCCACATTGTCCCAAATCACCAATACCTTTTCTAGGTGAATACATTTAAGGACCAGATTATTGGAACTATGTTGGTTTAAATCAGCTGAGGATCTGGCTCTAGGCTTGATTGAGGAGAGGAAAACAACACTATTTATGCATGTTGACAAATCTAGAAATAATATTACATAGTAATTATTATGGGACACTAATTAGTGGAAAGTCATTGGGAGTTAAGGGCACTCAGTGGCTCTTAAGAGTGCTCTGTATCTGAAAGGATTGGCCCAATATGGTACTCTACATGTTCAAATACTGTATGACAAATTTTCTCTATCTAAGCCTCATAGTGCCAGCGTGAATTAGAAATTATTTATTTCCATTTGTAGATGAGGCAGAGAAAGATAGTGACTTGCCCATGATGAAAGGAAATTAGTGGCAGAGTGGGGATTGGAACTAAAATCATTTGGTTTTCACTCCTAGACTCTGTCCTTTTAGGCAAGATGCTGGTAGCTTATCATCTTATTATATGTGGTGACTTTTAAGTGAGGAAAATGTATATTGAGATTTAGTAAAAATAACAACCCGTAAACATAACATTATATTTAAAAAGAGCCTGTAGCCATTTGTTTATCACAGTGCTCAATGACCATGTGATAATCTGAATATTATAACAGAAGCTGGAACTTTTTATTAAAACAAGTGCTTTTCACATGCTTTCTGGCAGTAGCTTCTGTATGTTACTGAGCTGTGTTAAATTCTGCTTTTGGTTGGACCCATACAATAATAGCAGTGCAGTTTCATGGTTCTAAATTTGTTTCAGAATTTGGTTCCACTTTTATAACACCAGTATAGAAGCAGTGTCAGAGTAAAACCAGTCCTGGTAGGCTTGAATACCGGTTTAATGTTTGAAAAAGGGTTTAATATTGCAGGAAAATAGTTTCATTGAATAGAACATGTAATTTTGCAGTAGTTAAGCCAGTAATAAAACAGGCTAGAAATTGTCTTGTTTGCAGCTGTTGTTGCTTGCATCACAAATTAATGATGGTCTTTCTCAGCAACATGATACATGCCTCTCCCTAGCATCCCAAGCACTTGCAAAATGCTAAAGATCTGATGATGTTAAGGGGTGACATAAAAACTTCTCATTTTGTGAACCTTCAGTACAGAATAGTGAGCAAAATAAGTATAATTTTCCTTTTAACATCAAAAGCCACAGCAGTGATAAACTTATACCAATGTTCCAAACTGTGAAAACAATTCATTGTCGCTGCCTCCAGAAAGGATGCTGTATCTTTATACATCATTTTGCATAATCATAAATATATAGCTGTGATTATGTCTAGTGTGAATGAGACTTACATTGCATGAATCCATTTAGCAACAGACTGTCAATTTCACCTTCCATGAAGGCTTATAGTTCAATAACTACCTACCTATTTAAAATACTAGACAAAAACTGCACCAAGATATCTCTTTGTAAATATGTTGTGTTAATTATATTGTTAAGTCCCTAAACTAGTGCATGAACTTACTTAGGTGCATTAGTGAACATGTTTGTGTCCCATAGAGCAACATTTTCTAAAGTTCAACAGTAGGCATAATAAAGCTAGAACTTGAAAATGTGTGGATGCTTTTGTAATACATAATTTTGGTTTTGGAATATGGTTTTATAAATGGTATGTGTTTCATTGTGGACAATACATAAAATGTACGCAAACTATACATTTTAGAATAAATACTGATTTTGTTTACTCTCACTTTTTGGTTGGCTATATTTATTTAATGTGTCTGTCCATTTTTGAACATCAGAAAAAAATGTGCTCATTTTTACGTGCAAGCTACAAGGTAAATACAAGGTGAATATCTTTCAGCTGAGGTTTAGCTAATAGACTACACAGAAGATCCCTATTAGGCTTTTTGATAGTCTTAATTCCCTTAGCACCTACAGCTAGGGCTTGATTTAAAGTCCATTCAAGTCAACAAGAATCTTTCCATTTACTTCAGTGGGCTTTAGAGCAGGTTTATGCTTATGGGGAGGGAAATATTCTTGTTTAACTGCTTTAAGGACTTGAGCCAAACTAATAACTGATTTTTTTTTCGGTTGAGTGGCTGAACCAAAACCTCTAGGGGAAGAAATTAAAAACACAGCTCATTTTTTTCCCACCAAAACAAAAATCCTAAAAATACTCATTCCAATAGAATGTAACCTTTCAAATGGCATTCTGAAAACAACATTTTGAAATGAAAGTTTGTTTCAGATGGTTAGTTTAGAAAGTGCTAAATTATATATTGCCACTTTTACCCCAAAAAAAGCCCTCATTTTTTATTCCTCTGAAAGTAGCTGCTGAATTCAACTCACATTAGCTGGGTGCTCTCTGTGAATCAACTACACCCAGCTCCCCCCAGGACTGGAGCAGGTGAGCCCAATCCAGCTAATTAAAGAGGGCTTAGCTACATATGACTCTAAAAAGGGCTGATAGTAAGCAGGTGGAAGGACTGAGGTGGATGATGGAATACAGCTAATGCTTGTGATGGGTCTCTAGAGCTTGGCGATAAGGGTTCTGAAAAAGCAGGCCTGTGGCAGCTACCCAAGCAGGGGGTGGAAGGCAGAAGAGTTGAGGGACGGTGGAAAGCTGATAGGTTGGAGTGTTGGAGATCCCTGGGTGATATGGCCCAGAAGCCTGTTGCCAAGGGTGGGGTTAAGAGTGTGTTTGTTAACTTCTGTTATGAAAATAAGCCTCCTTGATTGAGACTGGGTGTGGTAGCACATGTTTGGAGTTCTGGAGAAGCAATTGCTCTGGTAAGTCACCCCTCTCATTTCCTCCCCCCACCAGCATTTTTTTCCAGTGAAGTAACTAGTTGACTAAAAAGTGTTCAGCTTTGTTTGTGCCTGGCTACCTACAGGTCATTCTGTTGCTCTTGTGTCCATAAATGCTATAGTTGCCAGGAAGTCTGGTTATTATTTGAGCAATAGCTTTTTAACCTTAAGTAGGCAGGCAACTTACCTAATGTAAAATAGAAGAAAGATTACTCTCAACTGGAATAGTAAAAGGGAGGGGGAGTAAAACATGGATACTTCCTAAGTAAGGGAGAAACTCAAATACATAAATGAATGGGGATGACTTGTTGTTGACACTTGGTATCCCACAGTGCTCTAGCCTATGAAAGCTGTTTCTTTTTCTGCACTGCTTATTCATAATGCTGATGGCAACTTGATTGACACTTACTATGCAAAGGACTCAAAACTGCTTTCTTCACATTAGAAAACCCTGTTTGAAGTCAGGGAGAATTTTAACAGCATTCACTGCAGGACCAGTCTAACATGAGCCCATCATATGAATTTGTAAACCAAATAAAATTTATCTTGCCATCAGCATTTTAAAAAAAAACAACAGTTAATGAAACTAAAATTGCTGGGCACTCTGCCAGTAGAACTGGGGAGTTGGAGGTGAAATCTGACTCAGGATCTGTGTACAGGACGCTGGGACTTGAAGAGCATCTGCAGCCCTTTGTTTTGATTACATAGGATGCTGAGACTACCATTCAGATCAACAGAGCTATCTTGATTTACATGAGTATGAATCTGGCCCAGCTTCTCAACTCTACAGAGAAAGTCACCAGGAGCACTTGAATCAGAAGTCTGGAGACTTTTTGCCATATTCCATGAATAATCACCAGATACGTGCTCTGTCACACGTGCTTTTAAACTAAAGCATAGGAAACAAATATTTCTTCCTCCACTGTGAAAATTACTACTAGGCTATTCTGTGGGAATGGTCCCAAACATGTGACTCTAGTAATGTAAGAACATTGTGGGATATTATTGTCCTAAACCCTGATTATCCACTGGAACAAATGAGTGTGGTGGGTATCCATCTGGCCTCTCCCCTAAGTCAATAGGACCCTGCAGAGGTGCAGGAATTCATTGTAGTGTGTACCAGTGTTCAATTAGTCTTCTGCTTTTATGAAGACTGTTGCGATGTCTCAGCCTTTGGGTGCCTCAACCTGCCCAGTTGGGATTATTTTGGAAATACTTGGAAGCCTTTTACAATAATCAGTCAGAAGGGCCTTCCCAAAATTCTTGCTTTGTGTGTGTGTGTGTGTGTATACACACAATATATGCTGCTGGCAAAAATAAAACACACAAAATAACAGTTCCCTGTCTGTCTGCAAAGCATGCGTGTATTTTTAAAATGTGTTCACTTAGATGCATGCAGTTTAAAAATATGTTGACTGGGGTAGGAGGAGTCCAAGAGAGCACATTCATAATTCATTAATTGGTTTGATAGCCAAAACTTTCTTGTCTCTAATTATTTCTAACACCTGTTCACAGTAAATTTCCTTTGAAAATTTCTAATGCTTTTTCAGTATTAGCCAGAACTTGGAAACACATACTGGGCTTCTTTTATTTTTAATTATTTTCAGATTAATTATTTTCTGAATTCTTTCAAACCCATGTGTTCAATAAAGGATAAATTTTAATTTTTAAAGGTCTCCCAAAGCTTCCAGACACTGCTTTTATGAGCTGTTTTAATGGAAGGCTTTGGAAGGGAACTAGAGATTTCCACATTACTCTTCTGAAGCCTCTTCAGCCAAAATAAGGGGGGATGGGAGAGGGAGAAATCACTTCATCAACTGTGACTCTCATACACCACCTTCTTACAACCAGTATTAATTTGGTAGTTAAGCCATCTTGTAAGTGGACTGCAGAACAGAACTGTAGACAGAAACTATAAAGCAGTGTAGGTGCTGAGCACCCTCAATTCAACTGACTTAATGGAGAGTTAAAGATGCCCATCACCTGGCAGGATTGAGCAAAAAGGCCTCTATCTCTGCACCATTTCAGGGCCTAAATCAAAGGTCAGAGGGAAAGCCTCCCTCATTAGAATTAACATGTGCTCAAGGGGCTGGCAAAATATGGCCCACAGGCTGGATCCAGCCTGCCAAGCTGTTATATACAGCCCAGCAAAAGCCTTGGGCACGATCCTTTCTTTCCATGCCCTGCATGCCACTCAAAGCAGCCAGCTGCAGGTGCTATGTGTTCTCTGCACACTCGGGCTATGTCTACACTGGCATGATTTTCTGAAAATGCTTTTAACTGAAAAGTTTTCTGTTAAAAGCATTTTTGGCAAAGCACGTCTAGATTGGCAGGATGCTTTTCCGCAAAAGCACTTTTTGTGGAAAAGCGTCTGGCCAATCTAGACGCAGTTTTCCGCAAAAAAGCCCCTATTGTCATTTTCACGATTGGGGCTTTTTTGCGGAAAACAGTACCGTGCTGTTTACACTGGCCCTCTTGTGCAAATGATTTGCGCAAGAGGGCTTTTGCCCGAACGGGAGCAGCACAGTATTTCCGCAAGAACACTGACGATCTTATATGAGATCGTCAGTGTTCTTGCGGAAATTCAAATGGCCAGTGTAGACAGCTGGCAAGCTTTTCCGCAAAATCATCTGATTTTTCCGGAAAAACTTGCCAGTCTAGACACAGCCTAGGAGAGGGGGCTCCATGTGCTGTCCCTGTCCCCAGCACACTCTTGTGACTCCCATTGGCCAGAAACAGGCCAATGGGAACTGCCTGGGCCATGCTTTTGGTATAGGCAGCTGAGTGGCATGTGGGGGCAGGGAGCCTACCTCAGGGTCTTGCTGGGCTGTTAGCCAGAAGCCATCTAGGTAAGCACCTCCTGGCCAGAGTCTGCCACTGGCATCCCAGCTCCTCTCTCCCCTTCCTCATCCTCTGTACCCCTCCTGCAACCCTGTCCCAGGTTGCAACCCAAATCTTCTGCACCTCCAATCTCCTGCCCCAGGTCACAACCCCCTTCTGCCCTAGGTCAAACCCAAACATCTCCACCTCTGCTCCAGGTCACAACCCTGTCCTAGACCCTGCACCCCTTCCTTCTCTCTTCCTCCTGGCTAGAATTCTCTCCTGCACCTCTACCCTCTCCCAGACTCTGCAGCCCAATCCCCTACCCCAGACGTCAACCTCCTCCTCACCTAAACTCCCTCCAGACCCCACACCACCCTCCTATCCCTACCTCCCTTCTGCACCCAACCTCCATTCCAGACCTCACACTCCCTCCATTAATATCATGGAGAGGGCAGCCCTTGGCCACTTACCAAATTCTTATCCCCCATCAAAAAGTATTGCCCATGCCTGCCCTGAGTCAATGAAAGTCTTGCCATTGACTTGAGTGAGTACCATGGGTGGTCCAAAGTGATAGAATTATCAAATAAGGAGGGTTTATTCAGTAGTTAACAACTTTTAGACATTGTCAATGCAGCTTTTGTTGTTCTATACTAGCAGTGTTACTACTTGCCCAGAATGTGTGGCAATACTGGTGTGGTGGGCAGGAAAGGTTCAGACTTGGTAAGATTACAAGCATATTTTGTTATTCCTGAAAACATTGTAGCTTGTTGCATAAGGCTATACAAATGATACTCACTCAGGCGAGTCATTGTGTAATTCTTCTTTAACAGAGGTGCATAGACACATTAGTTATCTGACTACTGTGCCATATCATCATTTATACACAATACTCACAAATAGCTTGCTGGTTCCCTTATGTGGGAATTGAAGCCTTCGATGTCTGGTAGAGGAAGCAAAACAACTCTAATAAAAAAGCAACAGCTATTCACTACTTTAGATAGATCAAAGAAGAAATTGTATGCAAAATATGTATCTGGAAGGTTGAGTAATTACTCCTATCCTCACTTGCAAAAACACAATGCCACTATTTACCATATACTG